AAATTCTGTGTTTTTCTGTCAATATGGGGTGCTGTGTGTACATTAATGAGGAAAAAAATGAACTTAAATGATTTTAGCATATGGCTGCAATATAACAAAGAGTGAAAAATTTAAGGGAGTCTGAATGCTTTTCGTACCCACTGTACATTAAAATCATAAGATTTGATTGAGCTCCGGTGCAAAGTTCACAAGCTACCCAACAGTAATCCAAATTTTAAGCATAAAAGCTAGTGAAAACTAGCTCCCCCTTTACCAGCTGAAACATTTAATTTGTAGAAAATAAGGCAGTAATTATAATTCAATACATGAATGTGAAATGTGCCATTCTGCATAATGAGTACTTTTGCCTTTAGTACTTTAAGAATGGTTTGATGCTGATGCTTTTGTACTTTTACTTGTAACAGAGTGTTTTTACACTGTTATGTTGCTTGCTACTTTTACTTCAGTAAAGGATCTGAGTACCTCTTCCACCCCTGCATGCTGACCACATAAAATTATGACGATGTGTAAACCGCATCCTTATTGATCTGAATATTTGAAGCTTGCATGTCAATGTCTAGGTTTTCAACACTTCTCACTTACTCTAGTGCTTCCTCAACTAAAGTGCACCTACTGTCCTGTATTCCAGTTTAATTTCTTTTAAATCTTTGTGCTCTTTGGGTATTTTTCACATCATCGCTTTACAAAAAGCACCGACAACATAATCATCTAAATCTCTCAGAAACCCTGGGAAAACCCCGTTTATTTTCAGTTCTGAGGAGATTTCATATGTTGTGGAGCTGTCATGGCAACAGGTTGGGAAAATCTCCTAGATCTCGTTAAGAGTGACAGGTGGCTTTAATACTACCACAGATGAGTACTGTGGACTCTTTATTATTTCAATTTTTCAGAGGTGCAAATGAAATGGCCAAATATATCACCCTGTCTTCTGCGATTAAGGAAGTAAATCAAAAATCTATTCACTGTCCTACAGAATGTTCTGATTCCAATTTGTCTCAACAGCTGAAATTGTCTCTCAGGGAAAAAGAACTTATGATAGACTATGTCAAATCCATCCACGCTGACAGGAGAATCAGACAGCCCCTGTTAATCTGTGAAAAGTTGACACTTGTGAGATAGGAAATGGAGGCCTTCCTTGAGAAGCGATTATGATGTTATTTCTAAGCTACATAGGACACTTGTTTATTCAGACAATCCAGTTAACTGTGGGAGACAAGCAGCTTCTTACAATTCTAAGCATGGCCACTGTCCATCTGCACATGCCCATTCAAGGTTGGATGCAGTTTGTGGCCCTGCAGGTACAAAACATACTCCTTATTGGTCAGGTGTACTGTAGGACTGTGTAGATGTACGTGTGTGTGTGTGCATGCATTTGTGTGTAGCTATAAATCTACTTTGAACTTCACGTCATCGAACAGATTGTCTGGTGGTATGCTAAACTAATTAAACAGTATATCTCTGTCCTGACAAAATTCTAGGACAATTAAAGAATGTAATCCAGTGCAACCTATTTAAAGGTGTATTAACTAGAATTTATACATGGTTTGATAAATACATTGACAACGGGATAGGGCCTTGTGTAACTCAGCTATACTACCGCCCTCCATGACACTCTGCTGCTTATAGCCCTTCTGTTGTTATTCCTGCTTCTCTAAAATTATGTTCTCAACTGGCTCAACTGACAGTAGTGCAATACAAAAAGTACCAAATCTTAAATTCACTGC